ATCGAATTGTAACAACGCGTTATGCATTATGATATTTTTCTATCGCGATTTTGATAGCCGGCGTTTATCGGAATTAATTCAATTTCTGTGTAACAAGATTTTCGAGATCGTTTTGCGTTGTTGATATCAACTAGTCTTACAATTAGACGCAGTATAACTTGCTGAAAAGATGATCAAACAGAGCCATAGAATTCATCACGCCAAGATGTTCTTTACTTCAAATTGCAACGGAGATGCATTCGGATTATGGACACATTTATCACGTGACTGCAGTATGGTTTAATTTCCAGCTATGTGCATCTGAAAGTTTTGCCATTAGGAAGATTTGAATTTTATGCGTTTAAATGAACTCATTAGAAAGGAAACTTTGCGGAAACCGGAGAATTTTAGATTAAATTTAAAGTAGTTATATCATAAAATATTCATAGTATATAATAATCTTATGCAATTTCCTGTGGCTTCCATTTGTTTCTAAAACTAGTCGCAAACATAATTTAAATAAGTATTCGAAGTATAAAGAAATAAATACGAATATACAAAATTATTAGGAATATTCTAATTGCTGTGACGTTAAAACGTTGCTTTAAATCCACTCTACACGCTAACGAATGTATGCCATAATATGATTAGAACACGTAATCATTTTTTAAATTGTGCGACATGGACTTTTTTCTTTTTCCACCGCATTCAATTACGAATGTGGTAATAATCGCGTAGTGCGAAAGTATCACGTACCGAAATGTTACAATGGCTTGGCTATAAATTACCGAACTCAGGTGTACACGACTTGGGCTTAGCTCCGCGCGTCTGACTAATCACGGACTGTAACCACTGCGAGGTTACTCTAATACTTCAGAGATCCCCAATAATTTGCGATGGTTCGAATGTATCGTCGCCCTTCTATGCGATCTGCTATTCTCAGCGCATCCTCGTGAAATTCTTGTTACTTATGTTTGTACAATAAACCATTGAAAGCTAAACTCTGAACAAAATTCCATTTCTTAATCAATTTCTTAACTTTATATTTTAATGATACATAATTTTACAAATGGGAACAGATGGTTTATTCATCAATTAATAAAACTTTACTTTTCCGTGAAATTGATTATTCTGGTTTTTAAGAAATTTATAGGAGCGATGTGTAAAAAGCGCTCGAAGATAAAGATATCGCTTCTGACAATGCATAACTTTTATTCGGGTCGTGTCTCACGTTTAGAATTTAAATAATAATGCAAGTATTTTACTGCCATGAAACCAACGGAGCTGAACGAAAATGGGCGAGCACAGAGCTGACAAAAGAGTTTCAACTGAAAATTTGCACAGAATGCACAAAGGCGCAACGTAAGACAAAGGGGCGCGTCTTCGTTCTTGGTTTCGAATTGTCGTCCTAAACCCGTGTAAAACAATACGGCTCGTCTACCATGACGCGCGACTCTCCATTCGTCGGAGAAGAATTGTCTTGTACACGTCTAATTACTCGATGGCATTGTTTACGCGGGGCTCGTCGTTCGCCAGCCGCCTTTTCGTGCTGGTCTCTTGTTAGTCGAAATCCAAACTCGATATTACTACGGCCTGTGTATCGAGTAAACGACGGAATCCGCTTTGAATAAAGTCACGTCGTCCGTGGTATATAAGCGCGGTGCAGCTCCTTGCTTCACGAACGAGCGTACAGTAATCGTGCGGTAAGTAAAATAGGGTAAGTCGCGGTCGTTTCTATCGTCCGTATCGTAAGAATGATACCGGATGATATACTTCAATGTATTTTGTCAAATATTCCAATTACTTTAACACACATATGTATCCTATCATTACAATTTTTCTGAAAACACAATACAAATTTTGCATTTAAGATATTTTACTAAAACATGCTGGGAATTATGATTATTTGCGAAAGCACTGAGCAATTGCGTGTATTCGTAACATGTTCGTGAGAATTGCAAATTTCACGCGAGAAAGAGAGAGAGAGAGAGAGAGAGAGAGAGAGAGAGAGAGAAATAAAAACATTCATTACTATTCTAAGGCAATCTGTAAGAACCAAAAGTAAGCAAAAGAAAAAGAATGTGAGATAAAAAATATACAAAAAAAAGAAAAAATCCAATAACATATAAAATTAATAAAAATAATAGTAATATAAAATTATAAAAAATTAACTGTAATAACAAAAGAAAGTGAAGAATAATGCGATAAGTAACAGATGGAATTAAGACAATAAGTAAGAAATAACGCCTGTGACGGTCTAAGCTGGATATCTTAATGTTTTAAATAATTCTATGTAAATTTATATGCATACCACATTTGCAGTCTCTTTGAATTGCCAGCCGAATTGGTTTTTCAGATTTAGAAACGCAACTGAATTACTGTATAATATCACAAATTAAATTAACAAGCAAGTTAATAATTTGATGCTTAATTGGCATCATATTCCAAAGAAATCTTGAGGACTAGAATTATAATTAAAATAGGAGAGAGATACAAAGAGAGAAAAAGAGAGAGAACAAGAAAGACGGACAGCTATTTCACCAAGTTTGTATCACGTCGGTGTCAAGTTTTATCGTCTCGCCTTTTCTCTCATCACATTCGAAACTTGTTGGACAAGGCCGCGCCACTATTGCTCATTGCACTCGAGCGGAAAAGCTTGCCGAGTCTCGAACTTGATTCCGCTTCTTGTCGCGCGGGCACGCGCCCACATGATGGATACAGTTCGCTCGTATTGCGTGCATCCGACCGGGGGGAACGATAAATGTACCTAACTTCCACCGTTTTCCGTCGTGAAGTTGTCGTGGGCAAACTTTCGCGCGACGACTCCTCTTTCGAGCGCAACAGCATGGATACTCAGCTTCATGTTAGGATCTTTGCCTCCCGGAGGGACAATCAAGCGCCTGCGTATAATGTGCTTTAAGCCTTGCATTGGCAAGCAGAAGAGGATGTATTAAATATTCCAGGGATTTCAACGTGCTACTTACATCATTAGTTAACAGCAGCGCAGATTATTTAAATTACGGAACAGAGTCAACCTAACTTTTATATATTATGTATATATGTATTAGGTGACTGATCTTGTCTAAGGCAATCTCGATTTGACCTTAGCGTCACCATCCAAGGTCAAAAGTCAATAAATAGGTCTTTTTACACCTTACAACTTTTATCTGAAACAATCTTTTATGGAACTTATATTTTTTAAGATGTTCTGATCTTGTTCGAATATTCTGTTTGCTATAGCAATGAAACATTTGCAAAAATGATCTTTTTGATGCCCCAGACAATCTCTAAAATTTTGTCGGTTGAATTTCCGAACACCCTGTACATATAATATAATTACCAAGTATATTAATTTGGGACTAATACAATAAAACACAATAAATATTACACGTCAAAGTATAAGAAAACCGTTATAATTTTGTCGAAGAAATTATATAAAAACCGTTTAAATAATGCTACGTATCTATATTATATATGCGTTTCTCTAGGTGAAAGATTTGATTTATATTGGCTCAGTACATTATTCATTTCGTCCTGAAAATGAAAGGAGATGGATGAGCATTATCATCGTTATTATGTAACTGCTGGAAGGTCGATATGAGTGACACATCAATTTAATATTATGATTCGAAGTGTCTAACAAGTCAGGTAGCTGCGTTGCGCCTCGTAATGGAGTTATCAGTGTGCTGCTGCACAAGGGAAACTTGCCTGATTGGCGTTTAACGCTTGCAACGCGCCAACCAGGTCGCCAAAGGCGATGTTATTGCCGTGATAAATTTTTATAAGCACATATACAATTTTTAGCCTCTTAAGTTTTCGCTTTACTACAAGATAATTTATTTTGCTATTAATTCCACGCAGTTGCACACTACTAAAATTATTCTAAATTATTGTATAAAAATTTTCAATTTCGTTCATTTACTGTAATAATATCACACGAGTGAAATTAATATTAAAAGAAAATACTTTTTATATGAAAAAGAATTTTTGTACATCAATAAATTTCTATCACATCTTTTCAAAGAAAAAACAATAGATTTTATTGTTGCCAAGGATTAATTCATTTTTTGCGTATGTTGCGAACGAATATAACGAAAGATCTCTTATTCTATAATGGTTTTGTGTATTTCTTTCTTGATCCTTGATGTAATATCGCGTAAACAAACGGGCTAGCATCATCCCCAATATAACCAGAGGAACGGCGCGGCGGGTGCACGTTTTGATCTGTACGCAAAGTCTAGATGAAAGGATAAGGAATATCCCCGTGGAATATCATCACAGACGCTGACACGACTTTAATGTTCCCGCTAGTAATATATATTCTCCCACGCCTCACGTCTACTTTATTATTTTTATTTTTGCCCCAGCCGCGCGCAAACGTCCAAGCCAATAAAGCAAGGGACCTCTCGCATACAATTCGAGGGGATTAATACTCAGAATTTGTCGATTATTTGAATATCAAATCGTTTTATCCGCAATTCTTAATATACGATTTGAATAAAATTGATCGGTGATAAACGATAGGTATTTCCGTATAAATGCAATTGTAATTGTATTTATTATTCTATAACTTTTCGTCTTCCTTTGTAGTGTACGTTTGATTTCCAGTCCATTGAATATAAAGATACTATAGATTCATTTAATAATATTCATCAATAATTTATACATAAACCATCAAAAGGATACGCGGGATAAATTGTATCTATAATTAACTGACATGACGTGTGTAATTACTCGCGATTCTCGTTAAATATCATTTTTGTCCATGCATTATGCAATGTATTCAGTACTTTATTAATTAATAATGTAATAATGCGAGCAAACTGTGGTATCTCTTGTCAAATCTATAACAATTCTATAAATGACAATTTTAACAAATGATCGTAAGAAATTGTTATTTAAAAAAATATGTGTCAATTAAAATATGTATGTAAAAATGTGTAAAATATTATATTGAAAAGTTATTCGTTTATATTATACATAATATTTTATGTTCCAGCTGGATCCATGATTGTGACAAAATGGTAGATTGGCAAAAGGCACTTCTAATGATGTTATTGGCGCTCCTAATCTACCCAAATGATATTTTTGGTAAGCATAAAATTTTCGCATCATGCTACATATACATTATACGCAAATACACAGATATAGCCAAAGAGAAAGAGAGAGAGAGAGAGAGAGAGAGAGAGATTTCGATCAGTTTGTATCAGTTACGAGGTATCTCACTTCGAGATAGTAATAGACAGACTGCGTGGATCAAAGTAATTTCGGAAAAACAAGATTAATTTAGCGAAATCCCTTAACGGATTCATGGTTAATCCCGGCGATATTAGGATCCCAATAAGAATAGATACCTATCGTGTCACGCAAACGTGCGCGTTTACAGATTTCGAGCGCCGCTGAACCCGATGAATATGAGAACCATGAGATATATATCGCGCTATGTACGGGCAATTTTGCAACTAAGCCGCCCGACTGTGCACGACCACCTGTAAATACAATACCGAAACTAATCCGCTTTTGAAACGCACACTTGCACGGCACGACGTACTGCGATATTGGCCTTACGACCTTCCACTTTAGTGAGATATTACTTTTTCTGAATGCCAATGCGTGCTCCGGCTAAAGCGAACCACTCGCAGTTCCGTTAAAACACGCATATTATCGTTCATTCCACTTTACTATTCGCGCGTATAAATAAAATCGTACATCTTTCATACAATATTCATAATAAAAATGCATACATGCGTAATATATTGTAATGTATCTAGATATAAATTTTTATGTGTGTGAAATAAATCGATCTTTTTATAACACAGGTTTTAAAAGAGCTCTAATTAAGATAATATTTAATATTAGAGAAGCTAAAAGGTTTCGCAGATTAAACTTAAATGTTCTAAAAATAAGTTTTTAGTTCATTTCAAGTGGAATTTATGTCAGAAACAGAAATAAAATGATTTTAATGGAAATGCATCACAGGTTTTAGTATTTACATGTATGAATATCGATAATAGTAGTTAATTAATAAACCGGTAAATCGGTATTATTTCGGGTATGGTATCAATCATTCATTAATTTCATTATACTCGTAGGTAATTAGTTATTATACATACATACAATATATATACATATATATGTATATACACATTATAGTATATATTTAAATCACAAATGATTAAAAAGAGAAAAATTCTAATAAGTTGCAATAAGATAAAAAGATAACGAAGAAAATAAAATTGTATAGAAGTTAGCATGAATATTTAGTAGCTCTTGTCGATGCATAAAGTCAAATATAATTTATCTTTTGTCTCGAATAACTACATCTAGTAAAAAGCTAAATAGACCGTTCAAACGTACAAGCGGATGTCTGCGAGAGGAAATAAAAGATTACGATTTTAATAAAGACTGCAGATACCGTAAGAGACGAGCGACGACGGAAAGAGAAAAGAAGGGCAGTGTGCTGGGCAGACCGTGAAGAAAGATAGGTAGATATTATAGTTTGACGTAGACAAGAAAATTTCGCAAACTATCAAGGTTTTATCGCTTCCTCCAGTCGCGCATTCGCATGATAATTTCCACCGAGGCGAAACGTCTTCATAACGGGTGAATGGCATTTGATTACTGACGTCACTCAATTTCAGCCGACCTCGCCTCGCGTTCTCAGCGAGTAAATAAGATTTCCTAGAGGAAAACTAGCGCGCGCCAGGATATTCTTTGCGGATCCATTTCTCGCAAACAGGCAAGCGCCGTGACACCTGCACCCGATACGCATAGCCTTAACTACTAGCATTCTTCCATTCTATCGTAAATTGCCCAATTTGCATCGTGATCTCGACGAATTGTCGCGGGAATTTACTTTAATCCATTAGATTCCGTTTAACTCTTTTCAAGTTCTTCCGTTTAAAAATTCATACTTTTACGCAATCCATGCGCTTAGTTTTAACGCTTAACTGAGAAAAAAATGGTACTATTTTTTTATTCCATTTTCGCTAGTGTGTGTTATAAATTTTGTAAATTTAAAAAAAACTATAATAAACTAAAAGACTATTTTTTCATATTTTTGTGTAAGATGAAATTAATAATTTATTTGAAAGCAATAATTTATTCTGATCTTTCATATTTAAAACAGATAATAAATAATACAAAATGTTTCCAAAATATATTATTATATCTTGTTTCTTTGTGTATCTTTTAAAAGAAAAAGTAAATATTAATAATATTTTCTTTCTAACTGTGACAAATTGATGTATAAAAATCATGATTTATAAATGCCTACTGCTGATATATTAATCAATTGAAAAAGTAATTTTAAAGCCATTGTAGATATATAACATTTTTGACATTTAATAAATCATTCAAAATTCTGTCACAGTTTTGTCCATCAGGAATCTTTTCTTAGCGAGTTCTAAAATATATCTTTTATAATATCTAGTTAAAATAGAGTACATATAATTACCATAATATTCTTATAAAGATCGATATCATACATATATTTGATAATTTTATACCTTTATCGGTTTTACATTTTATACTTTGTCGTTTTGCTTCAATTTTATAAATCAAATATTATGCACACTTATTGTGATATTATTCTTTTATTTTCTCTGACTTCAAATCATTATTTAAATTTAATTGTTGACGAACATTTCATCACTTGACTTGATTTTTTTTAATTTTTGGACTTTGTCCAAAACAAATCTGAAGAAACTTTATAGATGTTGCCAGTTTCAGATTGCGAATGGTTGAAGTAGGTTCGTGAAGAAGCATCCGCAAAGCAATAATTATGAACACGATGGAAAGAGCCCATCAGAAAAGTGCTGCTTCATTGTACACCTAATATCGAGCAGCAATGTATGATGCTGAAAGGAATAAATAAGGACCAGAACGTGCGGACTATAGAAAGACAGCATTCGGCCAATCGGGAATTTTCACTTATCGGTCGCTTAACGAAGGGTGAATGGAGAAAGGATGGCCATTCAGAGGCGTGCAAACGAAAGAATAAATTGAGTTAAATTAAACGGAACCTTTCTTTCCATGGCTTTTCCCAAGGCGAACGACGTCATCGATGAAGCGATACCGCAATGCAAATTCTCTCGATCTTATTTGGAAATGTTTCATTTAAGCTGAGACGTACTGTGCTTTCGTCGTAAATACAGCGTATCTTCTAATATCAACTTTCCAAATTCCACTTTTTTCCTTTGAAAAGAAAATTCCTTTCAGAAAATCTGAATAAATGTAATTATGTAATTAATTTTCTAATTCTAAATTAAACAAAATATCAGATATACATAAACTTTTAAAATGTACGGATGTGTGTGTGTGTGTGATTAGATCTGTGATATTTCCCGATAGAACATTTTACAAGTCAATGTTCGTCTGGAAATAACGCCTGTTACAATTTCGCAAAACGATAAATGGGAGGACTCCACAATACATCCTATCCTCCACTCGCATTTATGCGTCCCAATGAATTTAGTGCCGTACCTGTCGGTGTATAGCCGAGCTCTTCCGCTTATGTTTTGCATTACCAATACCACCGTCGAATCGCGACAAAATTCGCCTCAAACGTCTCGTTACGATAGGCAAAGCCGCTTTTGCGAGACAATCGGAAAAATGAGACTGAGTGAAAACGATGGAAAAAGAAAAAACATACAGAAAAGAGGAAAAAGAGACAAAATAGATGAAAGAAAGGAAATTCAACAATAACACTAGAAAAATAATAGTCATAAAAATAAATTGTAGCTTATATAATAAATATATAAAATTGCGGAATATAAAAAGATGATTAAGTAACAACAAAGAGATAATTAAAATAATAGTAAATATTTTTTATAAATTTTACATCAAAGTTTAAACGTTTATATCTTGAAAAATTGAAAGTCATGTTTTTAATAAAATTCAAAGATATCGTTTTATTCTTCAATGTTGAGTGAGCTTTAATGTGTTAAATATTGGCAAATAAAATTTAATTATATCCACAAAGAAAGAGAGAGGAGAGAGAGAGAGAGAGAAATTCCAATTTAATTAAAAAATGTCTCTAATTTCAATGTTAGATATTTCTCATACTAATCAACGAAATTTTTGTTAAAAGATAATCTCTTAAGATACTTGATATAAAATCAATTGATATAAAAGTAAGTAATACGGGTACCTACGTTACATCGCAGCAGAACATGAATAATAAAAGGAGGTGGAAAAAGATTGGATAAAACGGAGTCAAAAAGGGATAGAGGGAAAAAGGAGCCTAGGGATACAGAACGAGAAAAATGAAACGCTGAAACTCGGGAACGACTTTCCGTCGAGAGTCGCCTTTGCGAATATTTCTTTAGCTGGGCAGAGTTACGTGCGGGTGGTGGCTGTTGGGTGACGAGATTTGTAGAGTGTCTGTTTGCTTGTTTGGCCGTTTACTTTGGCCACTCGTGAAGGAGGAAAGTGCGTTTACAGGCGCGCAAGCGGGAGCCTGGGCCAAGGAGATACGATCTTCCTCCCCGATGTAAGGTATTAAGAGTGTTGTTCGTAAAAATATATAGTGACATACATCGATTTATTCGAGTATCTAATACACTACCGAGTATTTATAGAAATACGTTTGTGTGTTACTTCTATGCGTTTTTCTACCCATTTTAAATCACATTTAACTCTATCCTTCGCAACAATTCTATTATAAATAACAATAAAATAATGCAGATATTTTATGTTGTTTGCTATTGATGCTACTTTCAACAAACAGAGAAATGCATGAAATATGTATAAATACTTTTATTCAGTATTTTAGTTTGTAACTGTCATTGAGTAATATGATACACACGTAAATCAGACTGTCATTATCAACACATTGAACGCGTGCAAAATGCATTCTAGCGCGACGAGTTAAATACAATACGTATTAATATTACCTCAATTGATACATTGCAGCAGTAGTTTAGTCGACGTTACGGATGCGCGATTACACGCGCAACGCGTGCATCGGGCAATACAAAGTTTATTTACCTCAAACTGCTGGCGCGTAAAAAAAATTTCGGAAAAAACTAGAAAAATATAGAATTATTTTATTGTATGTGTGTACACACACGTAACAATATTTTATTAAAATATTAAAATTTAATTTAATAATTAATTACATAAATGTATTATATAAATTTAAAAAATTACCGCGCGAGTTTTATTAATTAAATCGAGAATCTAATTAAACATTCGATTTAAAAATCTTATCGTCAATATTAATATTTCAATATGCCTTAATTTACAGAAAATTTAATATTATATATTAGAATAGTGTATATACGTATATATATATGCAAATATATATTGAGCGAATGAAATATTTTAAAATAAAAATTGAAAAAACAAGTTTCGTAATTAATCAATGCATTTAATAAAATTATGATATGAAAGCAATATAGATAAAGAAAATAACAATAGATTCTTTATAATTTAGAAATTAAAAATAATTTAGTCAAATGGTATATATACATTCGATAAGCATTAACTAATAACCATTTGATAAATGAATATTCTTCCAGGTGATTATTGTGCGAATTTCATCAAATATATGCTCTTGCATCGTTCGATGTGGGCATCCACGAAATGATGCGCAAAATTATTGTCAAATAACGCTTGACTAATAGGGAGTAAATAATTGCACGGTGCGATGCTATTTATGAGATAAATTGCTCAAATCACCGCGGTAATCGATAGTTTATTTTTCCTTCTCTCGCCATCAGTTTATTTTCCAGCGCTCGACTTGCGTCTCTACTCGCGTATGCATTTCATGGCAAACATGTTACATACGTTAAAAACATTTGCCATTATGTTGTTTAACTAATAAATATTTATTTATTAACAAAGGAAAATACTTCAACTCTTCCCCGGCAAAATTAATATAATAATGTTTTAACAAATTAAAATAATTTAATTAAGTATCTTCGTACTAATATAAAAATGGAAATTTAATTTCCGGGAGAGAGAGAGAGTAAAAATGAATGAAAGCTTCGCGATTTTCCGGAGTGAGCTATCACTGTAACGGTATTAACGCGAAAAACGATCCTCGAAGAATAGGAAGCCCCAGCGCGAAAATTACCCGAATTATCTCGAAATAGCGACAGAGAGAGTTTACGGCGCTGAGATTAATAAGACTGCTTGTTACGGGCAAAGGATCGTATGTCGAAAAGCGAAAGCTACTAATTCGACTGCAAGCTATACATATACCTGCGCGACGAAGAATGTTACGATATTTAATATCCATAACAACTTATTTTCTCGGAAGTTCGATAATAAGCTACTCGCAATTTTCAACAAAGTTTTCCGGATGGAAAACCGTAGCTCCTCGTGTACTTTCCGTTGCAATGTTGACGCGCGGTAAGTAATTTATGCCAGTGGAACTTTCTAATATTAATAAAATGCGGATAAGTTATTGACAATTTTCTAGCTTTTCCAGTAATACTTTAAAACAACTTACGATCTACGCTCGATTAATTAAAAGTCAAAAGTAACATCAACGCACGTGAAATAAAAGAAAGCAATAGGTATCTAAAGTCTTAATGCTTTCAGATTTTGTCTCTCCACGATCTCTGGATTATATGAGTTTTGTAGACCTGTAATTTTCTTACCCTCTTAATTATTTCTCATGCGCTGCGCTTAGCGTAAAGCTTAAATTCGTGATGAAATTTAAATGCAATATTCTCCATTACAAATGTTTTCCAGGAAAATTTCTTTTCTTGAAAATAATTAAAACTGTGCGCATTGCAATATGTGACGCTTTAATTGCGAACATTACTTTTACGAAACAAATGACTGCGACCCGGTTTATGTATTTTGGAGTTATATTTTAACCTCTAATATCGTGCTGCTCCTATCAAACATAGCCGCGCTGGCAGCAAAGTATTAAATGGTTCATATCGTTATAATCTTTCTTATTAATACTTGTTGATCCAATTATTTCTGTTGGAAGATAAATATATCAACTTGTCTCTTTTCTTAAAGTCTCTATTAGCTTCTTTATTACCTTGACAGAGTCTCTTTGTAGAATTTCCCTATTCGTGGAATTTCCTCTGGTTTGTTTTTCTCGCAAATTCACAACACACAATTTTTCACAACTACTCCGTTCTATAATTAATTTATAATCACATTTAACATTTTAACTGCATTGAACTTTTTTAAAGTTGTCACATTTAAATCAGAGAGCATTATAAAAGTCAATTTAATTCAGAAAATAATTATTAATTAAAATTATTTCATGTCAAACTTTATTTTCGTTTATTTTACGTAGTCACATTTTCGATACATTACTTTTTTTAATAGGTTTTAAATGTCGTTGTAATGGAAGATCTTTTATTACAATTACAAGCTTCATTCAAACGTATCGTTATATGTAAAGGGTAATGAGAAATCGGATAATCGAAAATTAATAGCTCAAATTACAATGAAATTGTTTCAGTTCATACATTTGTCGCATTCTAATTAATTTCATACAGCTATCCATATAGATATGACAACTTGGGAAAACGGTGTTTGAAAAACGCTCAATTTAGAGATCTAATTTTGAAAAGTTCCTCTTATTTAAAACCGTTGAATCACTAGGCACGATTTTCTGCTAAACAAAGAAAGTCATAATAAAAGAAGATGACGTTGTAAGTTAATTACCGTAACTCAATATGTTCGAAGATTTCCTCGCCGTTTAACTAATAATAATATGCCACGTCGTCACGTTTGTTTTTATCAGCAAAGATGCGACGATCGATACCGGCTATAAAGGAAGGAGAACCGATTTGCATATTTCTTTAAAATAAGGAACAATTAAAATCGAGAGATTCTAGTTTTAGAAATAAACTGCAATAATAGCTGAATGTATTATAGCGTGACGAGTATATATCGAGTTCTTCTTTTAATTTAACCAATTAACAGAAAACGTCACATTTCCATGACGTCGAGCTATCCGGGCAAACCTCGCACACAGAGTGAATTGTAGAATAACACAAAAAAAACTCTAAAATCGAGTAGCTTATGCAGCAGCTGGGACAGAAATTTCTGCAGAAGTATCATTGTCCTGTTTACCCCGTTGTATGCTGCTGTTGGATACTTTTAGCAAAAATTCATACGAAAATGTTATCGGGCGCGCGTGCATCTCGTTGGAAGCCCATTTGATACGGTACATTTTCTATATATATATATATATATATATATATAATATATGACGATTCTAGACACACAGAGTTCAAGTACCAAAACAGCCTGTTACGCGAGGATCGTGAAATATATAAAAACAACAGTATTGTAAAGTCAGTTCTTCTTATTTGCTCTTTGTAGAATCTATTTGCGCGAGAAAATGCATTCGAGAGAGAGTGCATCTCTCCCCGCGCTCGTCTCTCTCCATACTGATCGATTCAATCAACATTTACGTCATCATTCTGTAAACTACCGGATAACCATCTCGACGCGATACTCGGCTGTTGATTACAAGATTAATTCAATTCGTTCGGCGCGAGTCGTCAAGGGGCGTTCACAGTTTATTGCCGAGACGTAAAAATTATTTGACGCTACGCTCAAATTTGTATATTATTAATTCAAGCGAAACCCCATTTGAATTTTGCACGCGCATAAATTATCTCAAACCGATGCGCCGTATGGAGGAAAAAGGAAATACGAAATTTTCGACAGGCCAACTTTTTATACGGAATCGAGTACGTCTTCGCCCACTGTTCGCGCATTCCACACCCTCGATATCTATCTTGTCGGCGAAGCAATTTATACGTTTCGTCTTATTTTACGCATCCGGCGTGTCATATTAAACGCTATCGTCCCTGTAGCGCTATTATTCATAACGCAGCTGCGAAATAATCTGGGAATATGTGAAAAATATGAGAAAGTAGAAGGAGATGTATTCTGTACGTATAGAACAGCGTGTTAGCTATAATCGTGCATGATGCAATATTTATGGCAGCTGCGTGTGCTGCACGCATAATTTCACATTAGGGAGATAATGGATAATGGAGGTATGTACGTTTCCACCGCACGAATTACATTGTTACGAAATAAATTCATTTAAATTAATCGTATCTAAATCAAAATCGTCCTCTTTAAGTTTGAATTACGATATGTATATATACTTCAAAAATTATGTGAAAACAATATAAAATTATGTAATATGAAATTATGTCATTTTATATTATTTTCATATTTAAAATAAACTTTTAAAATAAAAATACATTATGAATTAAGAGGTAAAGAGAATGATAATGTAATATTAAATTATATTATATTCCCCCGTCAACCTAGTTTAAAACACACAATAGAATTTACGAAAATTATTTTTATTTCAATAATGTATTACAGAGACACCTGTGTTTGGCATTGCATAAAGATTGCTGTTTTTAATAAAAGTATGCGTCAGCATGGAAAGATAATTTTTTAAACTTTTGCAAATTTATAATTATCATCGAATAGCAGACAGACACGGGCGAGATACCAGCGTCGATCAATGTTGCTCGTGAATATGGAAGTTTGCTCAAGTGGTGCACATATACGACAGTGATTCTCGCTAATTCGACGTCACGTCTACGCGTTTAATTTGCAGTCGCGAGACGCATCTCCGCGTTTAGCCGAGTCGCGTAGCATTCAGCCTTCTGACGTTTATTCGTTTTCGCATAAAGTGCATTCTGCACGACGGCGAATTGACGTCGCTGTCGAAAAATTGCCGGCGGTGCGCGGTATGCAAATGGCGTATGTATTTTTCACGAACGTCGTACGTATTTTATCGTTTCAGGCGGCGCTTTTCAACCCGAATTCTCTGGCCCTATCACCAATCTAACAGTGCCACTCGGGAGGGACGCCACTTTCACGTGTCTGGTGAAACATCTAGGAGGTTACAGGGTACGTTGCATGAAAAGCGACGGCGTGTCTGTGATGTCGTAACGCTCGCTTAACTTTTCGGAGTCTCACTTAACTTCTGAAAGGAGATGCGGCCTTTAAAAAGTCATATCTGCCCCCAGGTTAAACTTTTGCGGTACACGCGAACGTTTATTCGAGGTGTGCCGCGTTATAATGTTGACACGGTCCGATAACTACTACAAAAATCTAGCAAAAGCCTCGACATGAAGCAAGCGGAATAAAAGGCAGTTTAATCTCATTATTTGGCTTTGTGTGCAATGAACAAAATATCAGAAACGGAAATAAGTTTAAACATTAGAAGAATTGAAAAATTGAAAATAGAGATTAAACGTAACGCGCAATGGATACAAATAAATTACAATGTCTTATTTACAACTATTAATTGTATACGTTTCACTCTTTAATCTGTATTTCTAATTTTTTTTATATTTCTCTAATATTTAATATTTATTTCCAGTATTGCTTCCAATGTGCGCGAAGCCTTAAATCGCGACTTATTGTAATAGCAATTTATCTGTACATATATTTATCGACAGTATAATATCCTAGAAAGAATTCACACATTTCTAGTCCGGAAATTAGTTTTTATTTTCTTCTGTAAAATAGACAGCGAATTCGTAATGAGAAGAAAAGAAAACCTCGACAAGTACATGAGAAAGACATTTAACGCTTTAAATAATCTATCTGTATGATTTTCACGAAAGTCGATCTTGATATCCGCAAAATTCTTATTTAAAAGCGGAAAGAAGTCGAGAGGAATTTTTCCACTCACTTTTCTTCTTTCAAACCGACTACAAAGAACTTTTATCGATACACGTGTCTGTAAGATGATACCTTCGAGCGGCCCAACTCGACAACTGGCAACGGTTTCTTTCAACGCATTAACAAAATTGTTCACGAAGCTAATTTTATATTACGAATCGATTGCGAACACGATTTACGGTGAAAATAACTCGACTAGCTCACGACACTTTTAAATTCTATCACAATTTCTCATTTTTATGGTGGTGAAATTAATAATAATTTCATATGCATAGTCATACAGTGGAATTATCTTTTCCACGCATAATCGTTCTTTTCGCTTTTGCAAATTGCATTACGCTACAGCGAGAATCAGTATAACCAGGAACTACATTACAGTATAACCAGTTGCTTCTAACCGAAGTACGTACTATTTGCTCGTAGTCGGTCAGATACGTTCAGATGTGTAGACTAGCGCTCCGCTATCCATATCTGACGTCCGATGAAATTGTAGAATGGAATACACGATTACGTTTCACATTGACCCGAATTTCTGCCGGCAGTTCAGTGAAGTAGAAGCGAAATATCAACATAACTGAGCGCGTAATATATATTCCATTCTCGAATTCATTCGACCGTATTTCCGCTTCGATCTTCATTGCGTGTCACAGATTGCGCAATTATTATTACCGTTAATTTAATCACGCGGAACAATGTGGACATCGATTACGTGTAAATAAACGTCAACGCCTCGTGCCGGTCAAATTAAAATGTGTTTGAAAGCGGAGAATTATAATAATTAAATTTATGTGTGAAACACACAATCGCGATGTGCTGGAAATCTGCCGAATGTAGCACCGAGGATAGAGTCTCCCCATTTATAATTCACTCCCCGAGGGAATTTAAAAGTCAAATTCCAAGAGTGATTGAGACCCGCGAGCGACCCATTTTATCGATGCTTCTTTAAACGATTCTAAATCAAGCAACTGAGATATCCTGCCGAGGTGATCTTTGATAATTTCTAATTAGAATCGACAAATTTCTCATGAAAGGGAAAACGCGAATCTTTTCATCGTCATTTCTCTCATTTCAAAGATACCGCCGTCATCAGTATCCTTCTCATGGATGATGAATGTGCAACGATATCCTCACAATCGCGCAATATCGCGCGTACATGCACGAGAATAATGACAAAGCCGCAACGCGTGGTCGGGGCTGCCTTTACATTTCGCTTCTTTTATTACCGGTTGAAATGGGCGGGGTACACAGCGTAATTGTGGCGGTGGGTGTAGATGTGCGTGCGCTCGCCTGCTCGTCGCGTGAAATCGCGGGAGCACCTCGCTCTCGATTCGGAATATTCCAAGGAAAATGCAAATACCGCCTGGAAGTTTGGCCAAGGGGAATCACGCGTGTCAATCTGTGTGCGCGCGTATGTGTGTGTGTGTGTGTGTGTGCATGCACGCACACCTCGGGACTTGGCATCCCCCGCATCTGTTTGTATTCCGCAGTCGGATGCCTGTGAGGAAATTGCGGCGTCTTCGGCGAAATCCGCGACGCCGTCACCGCGATTTCCGGCACCGACTCTGTCTGCCCCCCCCCCAAGGTCGGTTGGGTGAAGGCGGACACGAAGGCGATCCAAGCGATACACGACCACGTGATCACGCACAACCAGAGGGTGTCTGTGTCCCATAGCGACCACTCTATATGGAATCTACACATCAAGGGTGTTCAGAAAGAGGACGGCGGCCTTTATATGTGTCAAATCAATACGGATCCCATGAAGAGTCAGGTATATACTACACTAAACTCCTTTAAATTACAGATCGGTATAAAATGAAATTATCATCAATTCGAGCCTATATTTCTATCGTGCGAAAAAATATTTTAGTGCTTCAGTTAGAATTATCGTTGTTTTTTTTCTGTATTTGATAGAAAATTATGTAACATATGCGTAGAATTTATAGCATAAAATTGTAATAACGTATGCAAGAAAATTTAAGTCGCACGATCAAATATAAATCATATAGTCACAGCCATCTGATTGAACGTTACAGAGAGACTTCCTTGATAAATTTGACAAATGGTTCGGATAAAAATTCTGTCTCTGTTATCTTTGATTGATTAGGTGCAAAACATATCGCAGTCTTACTAGACATTTATCTATTTTAGATAATTTTTCGTATCTGGGTAATGTTTCGCTATATACAATATTATTTTTTTCATAAAATTATCGATAAATTCTTACGATTATTTTGATAACTCAACAAAATTATTTTCAACCGTATCTATATATATATATATATATCTATAAATTTGTAAATATTTTAACAATACTATTCTTTCCGTGAAAAAAATCGATACTTTCCTCATCTGCGAACAATGCAAATTTTACATTTATTTATGGTAACCTTGTGTATATAATAGAATACTGTAAATATAATAAAATACAGGATGTATGCAATAGGAATGTGATTTGGACCATAAATAAATACATACATACGCTGATCATGTGTGACAAAGGTGATGATTAATCTCGCCTAAAGCGCGAAAGAGCCATCTGGTTTGGCGACATTGCTTGAATAAGACCGTCTATTTTTGCAACTCATGAGACATATAAACACACTCACATTATTGGATTTATGCTTGATTGACATTGTCTGAGTTTATCTTTCCCTTTTCACTTATAAATGATTGAGAACGTTTTTTTCTTCTTAAGATTGTTCGACAATGTGTGTGATCCTATCATATTATAATTCATCTAATGAAAAAAACAGTTCTGCTAAAATATCTAAAAATAGCTAAAAAAAAAAAACGTAAGAATATATAGATACAAATTATAAAATAATTTTATTAAGCCTTTCCTATTTAGCCTTTCCGGCTAAAGTAATATTTTTCATAATGAAATTATTTACAGATTTTAGGATTATGAATGTCAGAATATTAAGATCTCTCAATCTAAGATGTCTATAAGCAACAATAAATTAGTGTGATATTACTATATTAATTCTATCAGAATTGCATTTCAAGACTGAAAATAAATTTGACGCGCAGGGAGATGTATATAATCACAATATAATTACACAGAATTTTCTCAACACTAAAAATCTAGCTTGACCGTTTAAGATTTTTATTTCCAATTTGTGGTCTTATAACATATCGCTTATCAAATTATTATATATAATAGTTATGTAGAAATTTAAGCGTAAGAATATACTGTAAAATTATTAACATTTTATCACCCAGCTTGAACATTCATAATTATTTTGACAGTCTAACAAAATTTGTTTTCAGATCTATATCTAAATTTTTTTAGATACTTGAGTAAAACCATTCTTTCCGCACAGAGAAAACAATTTTGCTGAAATATCTAAAAATTTAGGTAAAATACAGATCTGAAAATAATTTTTTGGAGTACCAAAATCATTATACGTATGGGAAACTCAAGTATGAAAATCATATGTGTGATGCTGTAAAAAATTCCAATAAAATTATTTTCAGATCTACATATATCTGACTAAATTTTAGATATTTTAGCAAAACTGCTCTTTCCGGGTATCGATTTACTGACAGAGAGTTACTGACTGCCGACGTATTGCATAAATTAACTGATTCCGTCGAAAGTTTTTCCAACAGCACTGCGTATGCTTCAATTACGAACTTTCTGCCATTCGTTCGAATCAAGAGCGACGTCCACGTTCGTTTCTAGTCGCGCCTCACGCTCGTCGCGGTGTTAATACCGACCAGCGAGTAAATCTAACGAGGCACAAGTTTCGCGAGCGATCGCGAGCATGCGAGAACGACGACATCGCGGCAACGACGCGGCGGTGGAAGTATCGTTAGGAAGTTCCTGCGAGAAACGCTTCTAATAGCAGTTCGGTGCCGTTTTAGAAACGTTCGATGCCGCGGAAGGAATGCTCGGAATTTACTTAGGCGCGGAAACAGCGCGGCGGTTTATTCGCTGCGTCGAGCATTTTCGGTAGTTACACTCCTGATCCTTCGCTCAGCTAACTGAAATTATTAGATCGATTGTTGTAGAATTAAAAAGAAAACGACTAGATTTACTAAACTTTACTTGTCAACAAAAGATTAAAAATGTAATAAATAAAATTCGTCATTAAATTTGTATTTTTCTATGATTCTTTAGTATTCTAGATAGTCCAGTAAATCTTTAAAAGTGAATAAAAGGTTATTTATACCTTTTCGTATTACATCTATACATTTTCTGATCTCGATACTTTGCCTCGATGTTGTAAAGCCTGGATACGTATAATCCTTGTTTGAAATTAGCTGTGGTGAACCAACAAACTCGGTGAAATAACTAATTGGGACGACCCTATCGACTGTATTCAGGTCGATAAAACATGGGAACCGGTTTGTCAGCGAACGAAAGGTCACACGATTTCGAGGTAAATTCGCCTATCACATTATCTATATTTTAATATTTATAATATCTGATAATGTCATATGCATATGTTACATAAATATGTTACGAAGATTTCATTTAGTGCGTTTGGGCATAATCTATATGTACTCTATATCACATAGGATGAACTAAATAACCATAATACTACAACGATATTCTATTGCATTAAGTTTCAGTTATAAAAGTCATACTAAATTTTATTTTAATTTTAATATTAAAAATGTGCACTTGATCGATCCGACAAAAGAATGATAAGTTTGATATCAACGTTAACTCGATAACGACGTAGGATAAAACAAATCTGACGAAATAAAATATAATATTATTACGAGAAGGTATATTATCAATAAAATATATTCTATAGTATAGAACGTAATATGTGCGTAAATAAATATTCTATACTATTCTATGACAATCGATTTTTAGGAAACGCGATTTCTCGTGTTCTCGTCTGAACTTAACTTCGCGAAGGATAACCGTTTTCCAATAGAGATTTAGTTCATAAAATAACCAGCGAATGTGACTCGTATCTTTAGCGGTTTTTATTTTTAGAATAATCTGAAAGAAAAATTGTTCCGCGCATCAAAATCGATCTCCCAATCAATAAAAGAAGAGTTAAAATCTTTTTAAGAATACTGTCTAAAAACATGTAAATACATTCATTTTACAGATGTTTGTGCTCACTTGAAATCGATTTCTTAATAGAAACTCAATGAACGTAACATTCTCGCAATTTTTTAACGTCAAGTCTTGAACACTTTTGCGACCTAGATAAACAAGGACGAAGAATTTGTCAACGTAACGCCAATATCGTCGATCTTTTTGCGTCGTGGTGAACACCGCGAAAATCGGTGGCGATAAGTTGCCCGAACTGCGAGCGAAACAATTAATCGAGCGAACCCGCTGCCAGTGATGCCCGCATCGATAAAGTGCCAAGATGCGCTCGAGTTAATCGATAGTTACTCGGTTACAATCGGACCGCGTCCCACTTGGCTCACGCAATTAATCATCCCAGCCTCAGTTTGCTAACTATCATTAACATAATCCATTGATGTAATACGCGCGATCGTATTCACATTAGAACATAGGAAATCAGGAATGTATTTCGAGGGCTATATTGCCTCATTAAACCTTCATTTATAACGCGAAGGAAAGCTCTCCTTCGCTAAAAATTGTCTTTCGAATCACGGCACATACTGAAGTACTGAAGTACTGAAATACTGAAGTACTTCTCAGAAGAATTTAAAAGTCTAAAGTTTGAGATTTAAATTTAATCATTGGCAGAGAAATATTGATCGACTAATATCCATTTCTACCAATGTAGATTAACATTAATCTCGGTTTAATTTACTCCTCACTCTTTCCTAATTCTTAAAACTAGATAAAGATAAACATAAAAAGTAAGTTAAACCGAGATTAAAGTTAATCTATTATTGGTATAGAAACGGGTATAAATGATTTTCGAAACCACAAACATTGACATAATAGAGTAGCCGATAAATGTAATCTTGGTTTAATAACCAAGTTTACTGGTTTATTGATTCACGATAAACATTGCGTATCATTATTATATTCATGTTTCCGATGAAACTTTCGAGCGACGTGAGGAAGCGAGAGAGAGAGAGGCGGGAACGAAGCTCAGAAGAGAGAAATCTAAAGCGCTTAAACGGAGGCAGCAACAATCGCTGCAGTCTCGTTTACACATCTCGATACTTTCCGCTGCCTGTAATCGTCGTCGGTGACGCGCGATAGCAAACCACAGGAGTATTAACCGCCTGCCGTCGAGCTGACGTCGAGTATTAGCTGCTGCCGACATAACAATCTGTACAAGTATCGAAGGCATTTCGCCTTCCGCGTGCGCGCGGCTGCCAGACTCGTGGCATACTTAACGAGCCCGGGAACTTAACGAGCCGTTCTAGTCAGTTCGGTACCCGTTTATGAACCCTGCCTCAAGTGCGCTTAAATCCTCCTCTCTACCTACCGACTCGTTTCGAGTTACGGCTGCGCATATAGTCTTATCAGAAAAGGATTGGAATATTAAGTCGCGTTTAACGACTATTTGTACGCAGTCAGCATAATAATCGCCGATAAGAAAACAAAGAACACCACTTTTGCTCCGTTCTCGCTTTTGAGTGATCCGTGATTCTGATTGTCGTGAAATAGTTGAAGGTTAATTACTAAACCAATGGTGGTTAATTACTAAACCATTGAATGGAGTCACATTTAACCTAATTTAAGTTGCCTTGATATTCTATAAGTCATTTGCAGTAGATCTCTATATCCAAAGATACTTACAACATAGAAGTATTAAAAACGTCTATTTCAGCAACTTTGATGGAGGTTTTTTTCAAAAACTTAATATGATA